GATCTTATAACCACGCCTTTTCCTCTTAAGAATGAACAATATTTTTCTATTTTCTTTGTAATTTTGTAGGCAACAAAATATGTATTATATGGCAAATAGTAAAATAAAAATAGAGCAGGATGAGAGATAGTAGTGGGGTACCATTTATATAGAGTTCTCACAGGGAAGATCCTTCTGATGAGATTTAAGTAGAGACCTAAAGAAGTGATACAGTGTGAACCAAGTAGGACCAAAGGGGAAGAATATTCTAGGCAGGATAGTAGGGCAAAGGTCCTCAGACATGCTTGGTATATTGGAGAAAAAGGGAAGAGAGTGATGGGGGAAAAATGAGCAAGTAAAAAAGTCATTGGATATGAAACCAGAGGTAATATGGAGGGGGTAGTTCACTTATAGACCATGGTAAGAACTTTGCCTTTTATTCTGAGATGGGAAGCCATCGCTGGGTTTTAAGATAGAAATAATAATGACTTGTAAAGAGATCATTCTGACTGCTGTGTGAGCTAGTAAACCTAGGTATAGAAAGTAGGTATAGAAGTAGAAGATGAGTTAGGAGGCCTTTGCTATGGCCTAGGGATAAGATGGTGACTTGGACCAGAGTGAACGTGATGGAGGTAGTGAACAAAGATCAGACTCTGAGTATATTTTGAAGACAATACTTGTGGCATTTGCTGATGGAGTGGATCAGGTATGAAAGAATCAAGGACTCCAAAGACTCTAGTCTCAACTAGAAGAACGGAGTTGCCATTTCATGAAATAGGGAAGACCTAATCAGAATTTATTTAGGGGTGGGGGGAATTAAGAATTTGGTTGTGGGTATATTAGGTTTGTGATACCTGGACATTTGAGCAGTACTGTAGAGTAGGCAGGCGGTTGATTGTGAGGCTAGTGTTTAGGGAAAAGATACCGGCTAGAGATTCAAACGTGGGTTTCATTTAGCCAGACACATGGAGAGGATTGCCTAGTGAGGGAGAGCAAAGATCAGAGAAGCAGTCCAAGTTGTGAGATTTGAATCTTGGGGCACTCCAGCATTTTGAGGCTAGAAAATTAGGAGGAACCAGCAAGAAGACTAAGCAACAATCATTTAGGAAGGAAGAGAAGACAGAATGGAATCCTGGCAGGCCAGATAAAGATCTTCAGGAAGAGAGCAATTCATCAGCTGTGTCAAATGCTGCTGACAGGTGAAATGAGATGGAGATAAAGAAATAAAATTGGATTTGAGAACACGGAGGTTACTGATGATATTGAGCAGTTTCACAGCGGAGTGTGGAGATCAAGTCTGATTTGTGGATTTAAGAGACAGCAGCAGAAGTGGACAAGTTTGTACAGAAGAGCAAATCAAAGTGGTGGTGGGTATTTGGAGGGAGATACAGGTCTTTTTTTTTGTTTTTTAAATGATGGTAGCTATTAAGACATGTTTTTAAGTTGACAGAAGTGATCAAGTTGAGAGGGAAAAAAATTGTAAGGAAAGCATACAATTCCAAGAGTAAAATGGAACTCAAGGAAAAGGTGGCAACTTTGATCTTAGGCATTTTGACAGTTTATCCAGTTACAGGAGTGTAGCAGTGTATTCAGATGTAGGAAGGTTGGTAGGTGCAAGGGTGAGTAGGAGGGAGCTGTTATTGATTTATAATTTTTTTCTATTTCCCTAGGGAGTTAAGAAGCAAGATAATGCCTTATTCAGAATGAGGAGTGGGGGATGTCTTCTTAGTTTAAAAGATTTGTTAAACAGCCTTTTAAGAGTGCTGGGTAAATGGATTAGGGAAATTAGCTTGGGGGAGAGGGTGATGAATACAAGGAGCTCAATCCAGTTAGCATTGCTGTTTTTCTCCAGCCAAATTCAACTGGAAGCACACAGTGATAACCAGGATTGTGGTTTAGACAGGTAAAATGAAGGAAGAGAGAAGAAAAGAATTGAAGGTATTTGTAAAGGATTTATAACAATGTGATAATGGAATCTAAAATAGGCGATGAGGGGCGCCTGGGTGGCTCAGTCGTTAAGCGTTGGCCTTTGGCTCAGGTCATGATCCCAGGGTCCTGGGATCGAGCCCCGCATCAGGCTCCCTGCTCCGGAGCAGGAAGCCTGCTTCTCCCTCTCCCACTCCCCCCGCTTGTGTTCCCTCTCGCTGTGTCTCTGTCAAATAAGTAAATAAAATCTTAAAAAAAAAAATAGGTGATGAGTTTTTTAAAATTGGGTATAACGTTTAGATGGGTCCTTTAGTAAGTAGTTGATTCTTATTTGAGGTAGTTCTTTTAAAGCTTTTATTTATTTGACAGAGAGAGACACAGCAAGAGAGAGAACACAAGCAGGGGGAGTGGGAGAGGGAGAAGCAGGCTTCCTGCGGAGCAGGACCCTGGGATCATGACCTGAGCTGAAGGCAGATGCTTAACAACTGAGCCACCCAGGCGCCCCTAAGGTAGTTCTATTAAGTCACTGTGAACACTGACCCACTCCTAGGGAAAACAGGGTTAGGTTCCTGAACGACTTAGGTCACATTTTCATCAATGTGTTTCTATTTAGACAGCTTATATATATACTGTTGATTCCTTAACACTGAACTCATCATGGCCAAGGGCAGTAATAAGCCTGAAAGGTTATCTAGGACCTGTGTTTTCTCCACCAGGCACACCACATCTTGTGCTTAGGATTACTAGACAGCACTTAAGCACTATGCTTGGAGGGGCATTTAAAAAAGCAAAACCACGTATAAGCATGAAAAGTGCAAAAACCCTGAAAGTATTTATATTGTAAAAAGCACATTTATTTACAGTATGAGAGCAGAATTAACCAGTGCTGTCTTGTTAAATTCAGCTGGGAATGTTAAACTTTTCACCACTCTGGGGCGCCTGGGTGGTTCAGTTGGTTAAGCGACTGCCTTCGGCTCAGTTCATGATCCTGGAGTCCCAGGATCGAGTCCTGCATCGGACTCCCTGCTCAGCAGGGAGTCTGCTTCTCCCTCTGACCTTCCCCCCTCTCATATTCTCTCTCTCTCAAATAAACAAAATCTTTTAAAAAAAAACCAAACTTTTCACCACTCTGTGCATGTCCATGACTGCTGTGCATACTGATCTGGCGATCACAAATTTTAATGAGTAGGCAAATTTGCAAATATAGAATCTATGAATTGAGTAAGCAACTTTGCAAATATAGGATCTATGAATAATGAAGACTACATTGCCTTGTACAGTTTCCTCCAGTTTGCTGCTTTTGATCAAATGGTATTTATCAAAATTTCAGCACACCATTACCATCAAAAAATTAGTAATAAATTTTGCTGCCAGTTTTCAAAAAGTTTCTACATAAGAGATACTACTTTGTGTACTCTGCAAATCTACCTTCGGTCTTCAATGCTTCTGCCTTCGGCTCAGGTCATGATCCTAGGGTCCTGGGATTGAGCCCTGCATCGGGCTCCCTGCTCAGGGGTAAGCCTACTTCTCCCTCTCCCACTCCCCCTGCTTGTGTTCCCTCTCTCGCTGTGTCTCTCTCTGTCAAATAAATAAAATCTTTAAAAAAAAAAAAAAAGTTCAACTCTTGGTTTCAGCTCTGGTAGTGACCTCAGGGTCATGGTATCCAGCCCTGGGTTGGGCTCCGAGCTCAGCTGGAATATGCTTGAGATTCTTTCCCCTTCCTTCTTCCTCCCCTTGCCCCATGCTCTAAAATAAATAAATAATCTTTAAAAAAAGAAAGTGCACATAAGACTCCAGGTTTTTTAAAAAAATTTTTCCCCGTTTCAGTCATTGGCAGTCTTTTTCATTACTGATAGCTTATGGGGCATTAAGTAGCTTTCACTGGTTCTGGAAAACAGCAATAATCCTGACACCTGGCAGGCATATGTGACATGTAATCATTTCTTTCAATCAGTTGTGATTTCAGGGCCTCTTCCCCACATCATTCCTTCTCTTCATTAGGCCCAGCAGTAACGTTAACTTGTTAGACACCAAGTCAGTCAGTTACTTTCTGATACTGGTTTTTGGTGGGGTCTTATTTCTTCTGGTTTCCTCTTTTACCCTTTTCTTCTCTTCAAATATATATTTACTTTACGTTTATTACAATCTTTTCGTTAAATTAATGCTGCCTTATAAGGAGTTTAGAGCAAGGGAAAAAACCCCACCTGAATATCAACCACTACCCTCAAGTAAAACTTAATTTTGGGGGGTATACGCGACTTTTCCCCCTCCCAATATGCCAATGCTGGTATGGCGCCTGCAGCGGTCTATAAAATCCAATTCGTCGCAGCTTCATTCAGCACACCCTATGCCTTTATTCACATGCAGAACCTCCGAATGAATGAATGAATGTTCTCACACCAAAAAACTTCAGCGAGGAAGAGAAACTAGAAGAGAAAAATGGGAAATTGAAAAAAGGAGAGGGTGGGGAGGACACCGCGGGGTGGGGGGGGGGGGGGCGAAAACAGGAAACAAGGAAGAGGCGGTTCAACACTTTCCCCCAGTAACGCATTCCCGCTCTCTGTCAGCCTCGGTTTCCATTCACCGCCCAGAGCGGCGCTCCCTCCTCCAACTGGGCACGTCCACCTTACAGCCGCACCCGCGCACGGCCTTCCCGCATTCGGTACGACAGCCCTTAACTCCTGAGTCTTTCCTCGCTCGGCAAGCTCGCTTTCCTGCATGCTTCTGGGGGTGAGACTTACTTCTAACGTGCCGACGGGCAAGCTCCAGGCAGCCCCGGCCCACCGAAGGCCGGGCGCGCGCTCGGCGCCGGGTCTGAGACAGGTGCCCAGGCCCGGGTTCCGGCTCCCGGGAGCGGGCCGCAGGGAGCAGCGGCACGCTCCCCACCTCCCCGAGGGCAGCTGCCGTCGCTGCCGACCGAGGAAGCCCCTTGGTAACCGCCCGCCAGCCGCCTAACGGTGGTGGTGGGGGGGCGTTCCGACCACCCCGCCTGAGCCCGAAGGGGCGGGGGCCGGCGGCCGGAGAGCTCACCCAAGGGCACCCTCCCACCCCCGCGCCTCTGGGCGCACGCGCAGCAGCCGCAGCCTCCTTTATTTAGTCCGCGATGGCTCCTCTCGCGCCCCACCGTCCTCCTCCCGAAGGCGGCTCCCACCCCGCGCACCCCGGAGCCCCTGGGACCAGCCTCGAGCAGGTCCCCGAGCGGAACTATCCCTAAACTGGAACGGCAGCGGCCGGACTTGCGCGTGAAGAAAAGAAGCGACAACCGGAAAGAGCTGACGGGTCGCGAGGAGGCGAGCCAGGCCTCAGAGGAAGAGGAAGGCCGGGGTTTGCCGAGGTTTGCCGAAGGCGGCGTTCCGGAGCCGCGCGGGGCGGGGAGGAAGGCCGAGGGTGGGAAAGGAGGGGCGCGGCGGAAACTGCCGAGGTTTTCCGAAGGCCGCGGCGTCCGAGTTGCCCGGATGTAGTTGGTGGAGCGGCAGCGGCGGCACCAGCGGCGGCGGCGGCGGCGGCGGCAGGAGGCGGAGAAGGATCAGGCAGCGGCGGCTACGGGGGGAGGAGGGGAGGAGGCGGCGGAGCAGGAGGAAGAGAAGGCGGAGGAGGCACTAGCTCTCCGCGGGGCTGAGCCGGACGCGTCTTCTTGCCCCCCTCCCCCCGGTTCGCCGCTGCCGCCGTGTAGTTGGCGCGGCTGCCCGGGCTGAGAGTGAGCGTGGTGTCGGCGGAGGGAGATGGCCCGGGAACGCCGGCGCCAGTAACGGGGAGGTGCTGAGAGTCGCCGAGGGCGCGCCGGGCCCTGGTGCCGGTCCTGCCGCCCGCCCGCCGCCTGCGCGCCCGCCCGCCTGCCCGCCTCTCGCGGCCGCTCTCCCCCTCCCCCGACACACACTCACAGGCCGGGCATTGATGGTAATGTATGCGAGGAAACAGCAGAGACTCAGTGATGGGTAAATTGTCTTTTCGTTTCGGGCCGGGCCGCAGCGCGGGCGGGGGGCGGTGGCGGCGGTGGCGCGGGGAGGGGGGGGCTGTTCCTCCTTATCTGGTGCTGGCCGAGCCGCCATTTTTGTTGTTAACCCTGATCCGGATCGGGCTGGGAGGAGGAGCAGCCGCGCGAGCAGGCGAGGACGGAGTGAGTGTGGAGGCAGCGGAGGGCCGGGTTCTCGGCGTTTCGCCCTGGTTACCGCCTTTCAGCCGGGTGTGTGTGTGTGTGTGTGTGTGTGGGCTCATTGCCGGTACGTTTGGTAGGTCTCCCGCGGGGAGAGGCGCTGGGGGGGGGGGACCCGTTTTCTTCCTCCCCCGCCGAGGTGTCTCATATCGCCGTCTCTCTTCCTGTTTTTCAGCTGTCACGACCGGAGGGGGGACTCGCAGCCTTACCAGGTACCAGCCGAGGCCGGGGTGGAGGGGTGGGTGGGGGGACGGAGGGGGGAAGGGAGGAACTGCTACTCGAGCGCAGGCTTCAGAAGTCGCTACAGGCCCTTCGGTGCAACAAATCTGAAACTAGCACCGCCGGTCCCCTTAAAATTTTGTGTTTGGTTCTATTAGCGCTCTCCAGCAACGTTTGGTGAGTTATTTTGACAGGTGACTGGAGGAAGTTCAGGGTTTTGGTTTTTTTTTGTTTTGTTTTGTTTTTAGGAAAAAAATCATTCCTAGCCAGGAAGAACCTAACTCGATTATTTCGGTGTGAAGGAATCGATGGGATGAAACGATAGGTGACTTCTGAGCCATATTTACTGTATTTGGGAACTAAAAGTTAATGTAATGATACTTGAATTAGATGGAAAGCTTGGGAAGAAACAGCTAATTGATTTGCAACTTTTATGTGTGTCCTAAACTATTCCTTCCCCATTTTAATTGTTTTTGGTGCAAATAGTTGAGTTACTAGTGAAAGATAGTGCTTTTTCTCTTTGTAAGAATTGAGATCTTTGGATGCTTGGATAATTCGTTCTATGGCCAGAAGTCTTTTTATGGATAATTCTAATATAGATGGTTCTAGGTATGTAGGTTCCTTTTTGTTATTGCGGTTTCTGCATGTAAAGTTTTTTAAAATAGTGATAGAAGTGGGCCCTGTTTTGAGGGGGAAATCTCAAAAGTGGTTGGTAACTATCAGATGACACCAGAAATAAACACTTCCCACTTTCTATACTTAATCACTTAAAGGAGTTTCTAGGCTGATAGTACTGTTATTGGCTAGCATGAGTTGTTAAAGCTCAAGTTAAAAACCCTTGGTGTGTATAATATTGTTCATTATCTTTGGATAGTCAAAAGATTAAACATAGTTGAATCTGCCCTTCTGAAACATACTAATTACACATAGTAAAAGACTGGTTTATTAATGGTTGTCTTAAGTGTGTGTTAAAACTAAACCATTGTGAGGGAGTTCCATTAAATTGTGTTAGAAATATCCACCAACATTTTTATACCTTGAAATTATTTTCCATACCTGCAAGAGTAGTTAAGTTATGTATGAAATGGTTTTTTTTGGATCAGAAAATTCGAGCAACTGAAGCTTTCTTTTTTTGTAGGTTTGCAGAAACATGCTTATGTATACTTGTGTCTATGCATATCAGTTGTAGAACACAAGATTATTAAATTAGTACTCAAGGTGAAATTAGTACACTAGTTTCTACTTTGGAGTAAATTTTGTAATTCCCAGAAAAATTTATTAAGGAATTAATGTACCAAGGTGTTTGATTTTTTGTAGTTATGAGATATTTAATGAAAAAAAAATTTTTTTAAACATGATTTGTACAAGAGTCTTAGGTATTTAAGTGTTGTCTGAATAACTTAAAGGCAGAATTGAAAATAGAAATTTTAATTTAGGTACTTAGGTGTTTTCTGAATAACTTAAAGGCAGAATTGAAAATAGAAATTTTAATTTTATTGATATAAGTTCATAAACAAGTTAATATGCCAAATTTTATGATAAAATCATTTAAGAAGTTAAGTTTAAAGTTTCAATTCTTTCTCTCTTTTTTGGGGGGTGATGTTTTACAGGCACTTAAGTATTCATCGAAGAGTCACCCCAGTAGCGGTGATCACAGACATGAAAAAATGCGAGACGCCGCAGATCCTTCACCACCAAATAAAATGTTGCGGAGATCTGATAGTCCTGAAAACAAATATAGTGACAGCACAGGTCACAGTAAGGCCAAAAATGTGCATATTCAGAGAGTTAGAGAGAGGGATGGTGGTGAGTAGCTTTTTTAATGAAACTTCCACATATACTTAACAATAGCTCTCTGTAAAACAATAGGTGGCAGTGATATTTCCAGCTTGGGGACATTACCATATGGTTATGTCATCAAAATATTTTATTTCTATTAATTTACTTAATTCCTAAACAAGTCACTGTAGAAATAAGGTATTGAGCTGAGCATTTTAAAATGGATACCAGTGGCTTATAATAAGAGAATGCGTTTATGAATATGACCTACCAAATGCTTTATTAATGAGAGAAATGCGGAACATTTTTCTAAGAAAAGAACTTTCACCTTTTCAAGTAAAGTCTTCAGTTTGACTCAGTGTAAGATTCTTGTTGCTGCTTAAATTTATTTTTATAAGGAGTTCAAATGTGTTTCCTACTGATAAATTATGAATTTAAAAGCTTAGTACAGTTTTTGAGGTTGTTTACAAGTTAAAAAAAAAACCACCTGGATTATAAAATTCTTTTGGGTTTTGGTTAGCATTTAAAAATACTAATTTCCAGATTCTCCAGGATTTTATTAATGTAATTTTTATATCGTTTTCATACAAATACTCAACTTTTTTAAAGTTAGCCTCATTTCTTTTGTACGGTGCTGATACCCTTCAGTTATAACCCTGCCTCAAGCTCTTTGTGGTAGGAGGCTAAGAAAAAGTAAATCCGTAACTATTTTCAGATTTAATTTGCCCAGAATTTACCAAAAAATCAGATTTCATGTTTAAAGCATGTATTGAGGCACAAACCATTTTCACTAGAGTAATTAAAACATCTGGTTTTTCCCACTGTAAGATCTTCTATTTAATAGATAACATGTTTGAGATACATAAATACAACAGTGATTGTGCTTTCAGAAGCGTCTAAGGAAACTCAAATGAGTGCCAAGTGGCTTTCTGTCCATGAACTTCTCAATACTTTGCTCACTTTTTAAAAATATCCTTCATCTTCTGGTCCTCTTTTTCCGCCTCTTAGGGTGGAGATCAGCTTTATTCAGTGTGATCAGATAATCAGAAACATGGGTGTTCTCTGTCCATAGTTACTGGGTTGAGGAAATTAATGGTTAGAAGATTGCATTGAAATGGAAGAATTTAGACACTGGATGAAAGGAGAATACAGTTCTGTTGAATATAGCTATAGCATTGTCCTACTTATGCAGATAAACTTTATTTGTATGTAACCAGTAGGAGGTGGGTTTGGTTAGTAAAGTGTTAGAAGTCCTTTGATGGCGAAACTACTTAAACTATTAATATTTTTAATTTTGTGGGTAAATTTTCCAGTGTTAGATATGGTTTGAGATGATACTATTTTCGGTTACTCTTCTATAGTGGATTTCATTTTAAATGTTAGCTCTTGGAAGGCAGGTATTATTTTGTGTTGTACTGTGCTTTATTGTTAAAATTTAGGTGATTGTGACAAAATAGGATGTGGTACAGATGAGTATCTTAGATTTTCTTTTAGTGAGTGTGGTCTGGTTAATGTATCCTCTATCTCCAAATCCAGGAAGAAGTCAGTTTAGGCATTCTGGGAAAGTTCTGTAAATGTTTTTGAACATTCACAGTTAACCATACCTGATAATTCCTTTATAGGTGAATTAATCCCAAGACCATTCTGTTGCTTATTTATTCAACAAACATGGGGCAACAGTTGTGTGGTATTCCTGGAAGTAAAGATAAAATGTGATCCTTGCCTTGAAAAACTAGTTTGAAAGGCTTTGACTTTTGGCAGCTAGTGGTGGTTGTAGCTGCTAACTTTATCTGTACTCCTTTTTTCTTCATTTTGATTTTAATTTTGCTTCTTAGGTGAACTCCGGATACTTCTAGGGTTTTAGTTTTATTTGCATCTGGTTGCTGATGCTTCTTACGAAACTTCTAATTTTTCTCATCTAGTCATTTGCTAAGTTAAGCCCCACTTTCTAATTTGCTTTTTAGCCGTTTATCTGTCTTCTTCTGGAGCCTTTTAATTAATAAAATAGCTCCATTTCTCTCTACCATTTCTAATATGCCTGGCTGCCATATTCCTTTATACTATGTATGAATAATAATATCATAGAATATGAGATCTCCATTCTGAAGTTTGGAATGTCTCTTTGATGTTAATTCTCTTAAAGATGTGAAGTGGTCGTTCTTTTCTCATTAATACTTAGATATTTAGTCCTTATACACTGCTGGTATTTTATTGCTGATACGTGTTTAAAACTTGAGTTTTATAAAGTGCATAAGTATGATTTTTTTTTTTTACAGGCATTTGTATTCTTTTAGATTTTTATTTTTAAATAAATGTAAGTTATATATATGTAAGTATTCATAGATATAAAGTCAAAACCATTTCCTAGTGTTAACTGCAGTGATCTGTGCACCTGTGTAAGTAACTTAATTTAAGAACAGGTTAGGGGGCACCTGGGTGGCTAAGTTGGTTTAAGCATCTGACTCTTGGTTTCAGCTCAGGTCATGATCTCAGGGTTGTGAGAGCCAGCCCCACATCTGGTTACACACTGGGTGTGGAGCCTGCTTAAGACTCTCTCCCTTCCCCCCTCCCTCCCTTCCCCTCTCCCTCTTAAAAAAAAAAAAACCCACTTTTAAGAACAGGTTAGTATATTGTTTATTGATCTAATATTAGTATGTTATTTTCATTTTCATTTTAGGGTTTTTTAAATAATTTTTATTGTTATGTTAATCACCATACATTACATCATTAGTTTTTGATGTAGTGTTCCATGATTCATTGTTTGTGCATAACACCCAGTGCTCCACGCAGAATGTGCCCTCTTTAATACCCATCACCAGGCTAACCCATCCCCCCACCCCCTCCCCTCTAGAACCCTCAGTTTGTTTTTCAGAGTCCATCGTCTCTAATGGTTCGTCTCCCCCTCAGACTTATTCCCCTTCATTCTTCCCCTCCTGCTATCTTCTTCTTCTTCTTTCTTTTTCTTAACATATATTGCATTATTTGTTTCAGAAGTATTCATTTTAGGTTTTTAAAAAAAACCTAGACTTTAGTAAATATCTACTAACTTAAGAGCCTATGTGATATGATTCGTAATTTGCGTTTTAGAAAGCAGGTTAAACAAATGTGGAACTTACAAAATCAAGGTTGGGCTTTACTGGCATCTATCTACATCACAATGTATTTTTTACAGTGATTACTAGATTTCTTTTATGGCACCTTGGGTTTCCTTGGAAAGTGCCAGTTCGAAAGTAATGTATAAAAGGACTTTAAGTAATTTACTAGGAAAAGTAAAAGCAAGGAGAAGGATTGTCAGTTATAGAAATCTTAAAGAAGACTTACTGTAGCATAATATGTACAGTTAAGAGAGTTAGATTTTGTCCTTTTCGGATTTATTAAAGGGAGTGTAGATTATTATAAATTACGGGCTGTTGAGAGTATAATTAAAGATTCTTTAACTTGGTGAATCAAGTTATTTATATATATCCTGTGATTTATTTGCAAAACAGTCTTTTGTTTAAAAATAACCGAAAGCAAGAATCTTAAGGTACAATCATTAGATTTGTTTTTATAACTTAAACATGTTTTTAAAAGTGCGGCTGACATCCAAACCGCAGAAGTATGAGCATACAGTACATGTTGAATTTGTATTTTTGTGGAATTTTAAAAACACTTTCTCTTTAGTTATTAAAATATGTTTTTCTTGAGACTTGTTTGAAATGATTATTTTACCAATTAACTTCAAGAATGATAGTGCAGATGAGTATAGGATGAAAGGTATCTTAACAAGGATTCTGGAAAGATGTTCCACAAAACTTCAGCCTCTTGGGGGTTGTCCTATTTTTCACATCCTTCTCAGAATTATTTGTAAGAGACTTATTAGAAGATATATTTGGAATACTTGTTAGAAACATCTTTTTTGGGGATAGCTTAACTCAGTTGACTAATTGAAAAATATTCTTCATTGGTTTCCTGAGCATTTAGATATCTTTGAGTACAAAGTAAAGTTGCCTTTAGTGGTTTTGGTAACCATTGTTTCTAAAGATTTGAAAAACTTTAGCTACATAGTGGCTATGTTGTTTTGTCATGTAGCCATGTTTGGAGATATTTGGAAATGTATATTCATCTAATTTTCAAACAAAGGATACTATATAACATTTGAAGAAATTGTTCAGTAGGGAATATTTGGGGATAATTGGTGTTTTTATATTTTTTAAAATATAATTTAGTAATGTTTGAATCTTTTCACATTGGCTGATAGACTGATACTTGGGTAACACGCACGGCCATATGGTTATTCAGGTAACTATGTTTTGAATAAAATGAAATGTGCTTTGCATTTGTAATGCTAGAAACTTATAAAAGTGAACAGTCTCCTTTGATCCTCCTATTGCTCTTGGAAGGTAGAACAGATAGCATCCGTTTTACAGTTTTACAAATGAGAGAAAATTTACTTGTATAAAATTGAACAAATAGTGGCAGAGCTGACTCTAGAAATTGGTCCTCTCTATTCTGGTAAATTGTTTACACTGTCAGGAAACATTTAGGCATATTGATAGCTTATTTGGTGGGTGTTTACTATAGCACAAATTTAAATTTAAAGTCATATCCTCTTGTGTCTTAAAGCTTTCACCCAGCATCCTCGGTGGTTACACCTAATTTAGTCCTTATCAGAGCCACGGCATTGACATTGGCACAATATATGTGTGTAGTTCTAGACCAAGATAGCACATTAGTGTTTTACTTTTTAAAAGAGTTTTAACATGAAAGTTTGCCAAAATTTTCGTTTGGAAGCAGCCATTTTTCTCACGGCCTCATATTCAGGTACTTGTTTTCAAAGCAACTTAGAAATTTCATACAGAATCTAAAGTTTACTAATAACTTGGATTTCAGTCCAGTGAAATAGATAAATATTACCTATTTTTATTGATCCATGCTTTATAGTAAGATAGTAAAGTAGGCAGATAGGTTTGCATTGGATCTCCATAGGTCAGTTAAAAACCACAGGAAATAGGTATTCCATTTCAAGAGAAACAGAATAAGCTTGG